TAAACTGAAACAACACTGATTATACAGTGTTTGTAATTTGTTGGTGAAGGGCAAAATCCAATATTGAATGTATCCTAAGTTTGTAGAACTGGTTTCTGTTTTCACTATTGGGCATGGGATGGAACATGATGGATCAAAAGGCAGGTTTTTAGAAGACGACCGTACAGGTGTTAGTAAAAATAAATAATGTACTTGAAATCCCTGGGTTTTTGTTTGTTTGTTTGTTTGTTTGTTTTTTCTTTTTGGGGGGGGGGTATCTAGAGCCAAGATGGGCCAGCTTGTCCATGGTAAAAGTGATTCATATCCACTTTTATGGATAAATGATTTAATTAAAATGTTCAGCTATTTTTATTTTCCTACAGAATGACTCCCTGTAGTTGTTAGCCTTTCCTCTAGTTAGAATACAATTCAAAAGCAGCAAAGACAGAATTTTTTTTTTTTTTTTTTAAAGCCCAAGCATATACCTAAACCCTCCTGATAAAAGTCACTCCCTCCTAAACTGGGGGGGGGATGCTTTGAAAATGGGGTGAGTTTCATTGTAAGAATCTTTAGAACTGTGCTGCATATACCGAATATTCAAATATTGGATCATCAACCGAATATCAAAATAGCATATATATTTTTTTCGATTCAAATATTAGAAAATATGAGCAGTCTCAAGGGGATGATGAAAAACGTGTGGTTTATTGTCTGTCAAATGCCACACTTATTTGTGAGCTTCCATGCAGAATATCAGCTCAAATTTCTTCTTAAAATTGATCAAATAATTATAAGCCATTCTGGTACCTGTTCTTTATTTAACAAGCTTTCATCAATTTTCGTCAAGTGCAGGTTCAGGGCAGCGTATGGTTAACTTGATAAGGCATTTTGACATTGAATATTCACATATTCGATCAAGTCCAAGTCTGCAAAAATGGAAGACTATTATTTGCAAATGCACTGCCCTAAGAATCATCACCTAGTATAATTCCTTTGACTTTCCATCCTCTAGAGGACTGTCACTGATCACCTCCTTATCCTATTAATGCTATCCCTGACATCCTCACATCACTTCACACCTCTATTCTCCCCTCATCATCCACACCAGTAAACGATCTCCTCATCCCCAAAGAATGCCCCCAATTAGGCAATTTTCTCGCCTCTTGTCAACTCACCCTGTGTGGCCCTAGGAGCCATCCAGACCAGGGCCCTGGGTTTTGTATATATTGGGATAATAATGCAGTTTTTTCCAAATACATAGGTTTTGTTTTTGTCTTGGCTCAGAAAAGATTTGCAAAGTCAATGGGTTGAGAATTACTGGTTCGTTGTTTTTATAATGTTATGATATCCGCTATGTTCTGTGAACTTTGTACTGTGTACAATCAGTGTATATACAATCATGTTGTGGTAACATTTTTTCCTGCATTAATGTTTTGCCAAATTTAGTCAGAATCTGCACACAAAGACATAAAGGACATCGATAAGTGAGGAAATTATCTCACCATTGATTTCAAACTCACGAGTGTATTCTAATTTAAAAATTAAACGAAAGAAATGAAGTTTAATTATAATTCTATCGAATCTATCACTAGCACCGAAGGACTTACGTGAGATTGCACCTTCCACCGGAATGTATCGTCACGCTTTAGAGCATCTATTGTAATAAAACAATAGGAGACCCCTATATAACCACGCACGAGGCACAGGTTCCTCAGTGCATTTTGAGGGTACAGTGTACTCTGAATATGCCGTCAATTCCAAAGGGATGGGTTCCCAACATTATGCCTGTTTCTTGGCAAAGGACCATGGGCGGGTACGTAAGTCCTTCGGTGCTAGTGATAGATTCGATAGAATTATAATTAAACTTCATTTCTTTCGTTTAATTTTTAAATTCTACCTCACTATCACATAGCACCTCGGCCTTACGTGAGAGGTTTAGAGTACAAGTTGACGGCAAGAACAAAAGAACAAACAATTCAGTCTGCCGTAATACAAGTATGTCATGTTTATTTCTCATGATCAATTTTTGCGCATTTGCACAGCGTGGTACAGAATTTATTTTAATTCAACATGTTCCGTAATTACTGAAAAGGTTGAACCAACCTCACCTCAGATATTCTGGTCAAATTTGAACCAACGTATAAGTACATAACGGTACATGATATACTCAGTTTAACGAAGTTATTCGATAATCATAACAGTATGAATTAAAGCCTGGCTCTGCTCAAGGCAAAAAATAACATTAACGTGCACTTTGACTTGTTCTCTGCTGAAGCTTCGCAGCAATTATAGTCAGCACAAAATAATTGAAACCCAATCATGAATTGACATAAACAGAGACTGTTTACAGGTCTCGACAAATATCATGGTTTGTATGATAAACAGTTAGCATGAATAATGTTTATTAATTATTCTTAAGGTACCGTGGCAGTGGCACAGTCCAAAACTGCCTTAGTGAAACTGGAAGCCTGAACCGGTTTATTGTAGAATTTTGCAAATGTTGAACAATTCGTCCAGCCTGCGGTCTTCAGGATGATTTCTACCGGTACTCCCTGTCTATAGGCGGCACTGCATGATGCTGATCTTGTGCTGTGAGCTGAGAAGGTGTTGATGTCTACACCTGCACTCCCAAGCGTGGATTTTATCCACCTGGAGATTGTTTGTGCGCCAACTTCTTTGTGTGGCATCACATAACTCAAAAACAGCTTTCTTTTGGTACCCCGTATGGCATGTGTTCTGCGTAGATACTCTTTCAGTAAAGTTACAACACATAGCAAGTGGTCTTGGGGATACTTTTGCATTGCAACATTAGTGTTCTGTCTCCCGACCTTTGAGGTCTTAATTAATTTATCAATAACAAACACAACACCATTTGTGGTAACCTGAATACTATCGAGGTTAAGTAAAGACAGTGTTTGACAACGTTGCCCCGACACGAGGGCAGTAAGTACGACCATTTTCATAGTAAGGTCTTTAAGTAATAATTTATCATTGGGACCAAAATTTTTGAGGTAGTCTAAAACTACTTTAACGTCCCATGTACATGAGTATTTTGGTGTCAGAGGTCGGAGGTTAAACACCCCTGTCATAAATCTCTTGACGAGAGGATGTGATCCGACAGTCATTCCCTCTTCGGGGATTACGACTGCAGATAAGGCACTGCGTAATGTGTTCAGGCTATTGTACCCACTGCCCTCGTGAAATTGTTCAGTGAGGCAGGAAATTACTGACTGTACAGTTGCTCGAACTGGATCAGTTGTTGTCCTAATACAGAACGAAACCCATTTTTTGAGGGCAGACCAGTAACATTTCCTGGTAGAATCTCTCCAAGATGCAATGATGATGTCGGCAGACTCGCTTGAAATGCCTTGCATTCGCAAAGTCTTCCTGACAAGAGACAGGCCGCAAGCCTCAGTCGATGTCGCAATGGATGACGTCTATCTGAGGAGGGAAGTGTAAGCAAATCAGGCTTGTTTGGCAATATAATAGGTAACCTTATTAGCATTTTGAGCAATTTAGGGAACCACGTTTGTGTGTGCCAAATTGGAAAAATAAGTATTCCCACAGCCATGTCACTGTCTATTTTTGACAGCACTCTATCAATTAAGCAGAATGGTGGAAACGCATAAAAGATTGACCGTGACCAGTCAAGGGTGAACGCGTCCACATGCGATGCACCTGGCTCTAGATGCCAAGATACAAAGGGTTCTATCTGAAAATTCAGACGAGATGCAAACAGATCAATTTGCGGTACTGGAAAAACTTCAGTAATGTTCGCAAAAATGCATGAATCTAATTTCCACTCCAAATCTTCATGGAAGTGTCTTGAGGCAAAATCAGCGATTTCGTTTTTAATGCCTGGCAAGTGGGACACTGAAAGCCATATGTTTCGGACCATACACCATAGCCAGATTTCCCTGGCCAATTCATTCAATATTGGGGATTGTGAGCCCCCAAAATGACATACATATGCAACTGCAGTTGAATTGTCCGATTTTAAATGGACATGAATGTCATGAGCCTTTGAAAAAAGTGATTCTAAGGCCAGGTAACATGCCTTTAGCTCAAGAAAATTAATATGGTTCACTGATTCTTCAGAAGACCACTGTCCCCCAAAAGTCTGGTCGCCACAATGGGCTCCCCAGCCCTGACATAAAGCGTCGGTTTCGACAATAAAATCAGGCATGCTTCTACGCATTGGGGCTGATGATGTTTTTAAATTAGAAGCCCACCAGTTTAGGTCAGAAATAACTCGCTCGGACAGAGTCATTTGCGCCTCAAAGTTACCGCCATTTTGCGTGAGTGCCTTGTTTTTTAGGTTCTCTACCGATCGTCTAAAAAGCGGTCCATAGGGCACTGCTAATTCACATGAGACGAGGAGTCCTATGACTCTCGCCACATCCCGAATTTTAGGATGAGGAGCATGTATTAGCTTATGAATGGATGTCACAATTTTGTCCCCTTTTTGTGGTGGGATAGTGACTGTCATTTGTACTGAGTTTAGTACAAACCCCAAAAAAGTTATCTCATGTGCGGGTTCCAAATTAGACTTCTGTCTGTTTATGACAAATCCCAAATCTTCAGTAAGGGACGTCCGGGCTTTGATGTTATTTAAACATTCATCAAATGTTCTGCCCAATAGCAACGAATCATCTATATAGTCACAAGATTCGTGACCCATGTTTCTGAGTGTGGCAATAAGAGGTTTCATTACCTTAGTGAACACTCGAGGGGCACTTGAAAGCCCAAAAGGCAGGCAGGTAAACTCATAAACTTTCCCTTGCCAAATAAATCTTAAGAACTTTCTGTGTTCCTGCGCAATGGGAATAGCAAAATATGCGTCTTTCAAATCAATAGACGCCATGAAGCAGTTTTGTGTGATCAACTGCGTTGCGTAATGTATTGTCTCCATTTTGAAATGGAAGTATGCAACAAAAGCATTGAGCCCACGCAGGTTAATAATGGGCCGAAAAGATCCGTCTTTCTTAGGGCGGATAAAGATATTTGAAAAGGAATTCCCCTTTTACATGGCTTGTTTCAACAATGGCGCCCTTTAGACGCATTTTGTCTATTTCTTCACATACTAGACTAACTTCATGTTGTGAAAATAAAATTTCACGAGGGAGGGTATTTTGTACAGGCCGTTTGGCAAATTCAATGTAGTAATGTTGTACTGCATTGAGAACCCAATTATCTGAAGTTATTTCACGCCATTTTGTTATAAATTTAGCAAGTCTGCCTGCTATGATACTATTCGCACTATCACATTTGTGCTCATGCATTGTGTCATTAGAGACCGTTTTGGGGTGAGCATTTCCAAATTGTTGCTTGCTCACAAACTCATATACATGTATGTTTTTAGATGCATTCGTTGCTATCGGTAAATCAGCTTGATTTTGACTGTATTTACTCACCGAAGTGCACGGATCTATTTGTTTGGTGCACTCGACTGTCTTGCGGGAGCGTATTGGAACTTCTTGTCCCGCCAGTTGGTGTTGTTGTGGCGCTTGTAGTTTAAAGCGCCCTGGCGAAAATTCCCGCGGGACATCGACGACTGATACGGTCGTGTGTCCCGCCGGCGTTGGAATTGTCCATAGCCAGGTTTGCCCGTTGAGCCTCGGTAACGTTGACCGACTTTGTGCCCCAATTTATTAGTTTCCTGTATGTCCTTACATTTTTGAGTAAGGTTGTCCCCAAATAACAGTCCAGTTATGGGTACTTGGGCAGAGCAAAGACCCCCGAATTGTTGATTTAAATCGGGTTTAATGAGATCTCGTCTGCGGAGATTCAGTTCACGATTGGCATGCCCAATCATGGAGACTGCGTCAAGTAGTCGGTTAATCTCGACTCTGGCATTGTCCAGTTTATCGGACGCAGAGGGGGCGTTAGCCGTGGCCATTAGTGATTCAATTGCCCGCACAATAGGCACCACACCTGCTAGAAGGGATTGTTGGGCCTTTTGCATTTTAATGTCTAGCGAACGGGTCTTTGGTTTAAGGGTATTCCATACCTCAGGGTTTACCCTGGTGACTCCCAACGCCTCAACATTTGAAGGGCGTTCTAGACTTTTCAATTTCTCAGTGACTTTGTCATCGGCCAGCTTCTGACGCATCATTTTGGTCATGAGCCCAGCCAACTTTTCGTTGATTGGGGCCCCAGTTGCACTCCCATCATCATACAACTGTTCATAGTCTTGTAGCACAGCCATGTCGGAATCCCCTTGCTCAGTTTGCTTTTTGTTTTGCAAGAGATCGTCGACAGCCTTACTAACATTCAGGGTGCTGTCCGACTCGTCATCGGATGTCGGGTCAGTTTTGGCCCGTTTCGGGAGTGGCTCAGATAGAATGAAATTCTGTATCTGTTCCATTGCATTAGCCATGGAAGTGAGCTGGTTTTGAAGGGTTTCAAACTCGTAACGAGTAACCAAATCGTTTGATTTACGTTTACCCTTGGTCGAGGTTTTGCCTTTAGGCTTACCCGATGGTTTATCCAGCGGATTGCCGCTGTAGGAGTTGGAGGGGCCGGACTCGTTTTGAGTCGCTTGGGTTGTCTCCTCGTCTGTAGCCCCGGCCAACAACTCTAGGATATCGACCTGTTCGATCATGTTTGTAGAGCAAAAAACTAACACGATACACTCCGGTCACGAAAAATGCACTGAGGAACCTGTGCCTCGTGCGTGGTTATATAGGGGTCTCCTATTGTTTTATTACAATAGATGCTCTAAAGCGTGACGATACATTCCGGTGGAAGGTGCAATCTCACGTAAGGCCGAGGTGCTATGTGATAGTGAGGTAGAATTAGGATAGGCTTATGTATCGATGATTTTTATGTGGTTTTGCCTTCAAATACGAGACTATATACCTGAACTTCAGGAATTGTCCTTTAACCCATAAACCAAGTAAGACTAGAGACAAGATTGTTCTTATACATACATGTGTTCTGTAAATGCTATACAGTCCATCATTTGCAGCAATCCAAAAAGTAACTGATGTAATTATTGTAGAAAAACATACTTGGTTGAAGATAGTTAGGGAACTAAACTCCCTGTGAAATTATTCTTTCTGGCATGCTGTCATTTTGAAGAAATCAACGAAAGAAGGCCAACGACAAAATTTCCAACGATGCATAGACGCATCGTTGGAAATTTCTGTTAGTGTTTTTTTTTTTTTTTTATTCGGCGAGGCGCGCGCAAGCATTGACACGACGCACATGCATGCGCTGTTGCTATAAATCGTCGGATCAGTGCGTGGCACGCGTAGCTGCACTTGGCTCAGTGAGAACGTGTCTCGGACGCTGAATTCTAGGCCCAATTCAAAACATGATTCAGCAACTTTTGATTTCTAAATTGAGATCCTAGAATGTTGTTTTTCTCAAAATATACAGCTGGAGCTGAGCTGAAACTTCATTAGGTTAGTTGTTCAGCACCCTTCTTTAGATTTTGAGCACTTTTGTTGCTCAAACGAACAAAATGCACAAATTACAAATGATGGACTGTTAAATGTGTATCTGCTGTCAACAACTCAAAGGAGAGTTCAAGACGAATTGTCGGAAGCCACATGTACCGAGCTGTCATGTTTTGTTTTCTTGCAATCAAAAAAAGACCTGGCCCTTTTAAAACTAAGTTTAACTCCATCTTTGCCGTAGACTTACCTCAAACCATGGAGCTAGGAACACACACCTAGACCATGCCTACACCAAATTCTTGTAATCATTACACATCTGGTGTTTTTTAAACAGATTGTCAACAGGTTATTCAGATTTTTATTACATTAATAGAGATGCTTATACCATGCTTATACAATGACTAACCCACACCTTAAAAAAAAGTCAGGTAGATCATTGCATGGACCACACATGTTTAATTGCAACACCTACTATGATAGTGTGCATTAGTGTACTGACAGACACATTAATGGGTTTGGGGTCCATGCTAGCTTTCAAAACAAATTGTTTATCTCGCCAGCAGAGATTTGGGTTTTTCTTTTTCTTTTTAAGCTCTTTTTGACTTGCCCTTAACTGTTGTAAACAAGATAACACCAAAGAAAAACAATAACAAAATGACTCATACAACCACATATGTGATACTGTAAACAATGCTCCCCCTCCTGCGCCCCCCCCCCCCAACAAAAAAAAATGAAAAGAAAAAAAAAAGCTAACATCAATACAACTACAGACGTGGCAGGGAATTATACTGGATTTTATCAGACTTTGCCAATTTTTAACTTTCAGTGGAAAAGAAACATGCATCACAGTGTGGCGGAAGCGATCGATTACGAGCCTAAAAGGTGTTTATCTAAATATGTCAAATGTGTTTATTTACTGGAAAATGTTTTTGCGTACTAATTGGCTTTTACTTCTGAGTTTGACAGGCCCGTGTGAATTCGTACAATTTATCATTTGCTGTTTATTTCAAACGTTATCGGCCTACTCTTTAACCTTTTCTCACATGCAGCTATAAATGCTTTGTAATTTCATGTTGTTTGGGTCGAATAAATAATAATTAAAATGGTAATCATAATAATAAAACCAAATACATACTTGTGTACAACAAAGGAATTCAACTCATGTCCAGTTTTGCAAGCAGTTGGTAGCACTACATTGTTTCACTTTTTTGCCTGTTTATTAGTTCTACTTATTTTCCCACTCTGCCCTCTCACTTTTCAAGTTTGTTTCTTAATTGTGTCTATTTGCTAGCTTCAATGTTGACCTCAAAATGTAAAGGATAACATGTATTATTTGAATGAATTTGCGTCAAATTTAAAAAGTTTATAAATTATGGCATCTGGCAAAGATTGCATAATCGTAGAAGATGGACTCTGTTTTTTAACTGATGACCAAGGACAAATTCTGGGCCGGATGGGAGTTTTTAAAAGGATCTTATCCCATAAAATGCTTGTGGGCAATTCCACGGTTACTCACGTTACATTTTCGTAATGTGAGTAACCGATTTTGTGCGTCTTGTTTATCATACATAACACATTTTTCTGGATGTCATCTTTGGTGCTTAGGTAGGTCTAGGTCTACTCTATCTACCAGTACTGCTATCTACCATGGGGATAATAGTTATTAAACCTTTTCAGTAAGATTCATTACAGCCTAAGGAAACTCAAAAGTACATAAAAAATGTCACGTGAGTAACCGTGGAATTGCCCTTGTATGCTCCTTGGTTAAACTGCAAGTTACTTGAACTTGCCTGCAGACACAAAGTACCAGCGCGTCTTTTGATCTTTAAGATTGTCAAACAAAACACACCCCTGGGACTTATGATGCAAGAAGGTTGTCTAGGCTTACTAGCCATGACAAGCAAGACATCTGGTAACCCTCATGTGCTAACCAATGTGCTAGAAATAATAGGCAGGGGAAAACGAGCAATGGGTGGAAGTCTTGAAAACATCAAGAAATATGCCCAGCATGGGAATAACGAGGCCGATGGATGAACTTGAAGGATTTATACCCCTGGGAGTCTGCCAGCAAATAAAAATAGTTCTGTAGAGGAGTAAAAAAAAAAAAGGATGAGAATGGATCGTCCGAAGTTCAAGACATTGTGAATCTGGTGGTCTGTTTGTTTGATGGTTCCCAGACTATTTTGTTGTTGTATGGTTGCGGTTTCTGTACTTGAGATTTTCGTTATGACTCATTGTTAAGTGAATGGGTTGGAAAGATATAATGCAGGATTCCTTTAATTCAGGATTCTTTCAATTCACCAGCGTTTCTTCTCTCAGAAAGATTGATGGTTGTTTTCCTGAATTTTGCGGAAGGTGAAATGGTGTGATTCTCATTCCTAGAGGATGTCTCATTCATTTTGAATTTTGCACACGTGAGAACAAAATCTAGACATTTCTTTGAATTTGGTAAGTTTCTGTGGTCATTATAAAGAAACTTAACAGTGTATTGGGGAAAAATGGACAAATAATGGATTGTTGATTCTGTACTTGAGATTTTTGACTTGTGAATCATTGTGAGTAGGCCTACGTAGTTCAATTCCTGTAACAATTTTTTTCAGTTGTCCCTGATTTATAAACCTTATAAAAAAGAAATTTCAGTTAGTTTTTGTTAGGCCTAATAGGCCTTTTTGTAATAAAATATTAACTTAATGTCAACAACCACTTATATACTCCCTCTCATTTTTTTTTCACAAGTTTTTTTGGGTTTGGAAGGATATGAAACAAAGCCAAAACCATATCAACAATATCAGTGATAATTATCAGTGAATATATCATCAGTAGTGTTTATTGTTATTAAATTTGACCTTGTAGAAACTTAGTTTATATTGTTTTATTCATACATGACGTACATACCAGTAAGTATACTAAGTACACTATGCATAAAAACATGGATGATTTCAAGTTCTTCGGAATGAACTTTTCAACTTAACAGACGGACAATTCAATGACCTGTGAACTTGTGGCCTAACTCAAAGCATGGACCTTTTACCAAAAAAAAAATCCTGTTCTTTACTGAATTACTCCATGGATCGGCACTTGAGGTGTCTTAAATTGGTGGCATGTGCTGAAGCAATTAGGGCCAATTGTTGAACGACAAATTGGCCATTTAGGCTTGACCTCAGATTGTCGTTGACCCAGTTCTACCAAGAATATAATTTCATATTTCACCTTCAGAAACCACATAATTACCAGAATGCCTGACCTACCTGATACCAAGGGCCAATTACCAGCAGAAAATAATGCTTATAGTCAATGTTTGTGCTCAGCAAAAATCGGCTGAGTACCTGTCCACAGCAGAATGCACAACGTGAGATTTTGGCTGGTAACCTGCATTGTTTGCTTAGCACATCTGTTCTGAGCTAAGCAGAATTCTGTCCTGAAATTGACCCCAATTCTAAAAGCTGGTACTTTTGAGCGTGCATTATTGATTTCCTAGAATTGTTTAGATCCATGTTTGAACCATATGGCGTGTGTTGGAGACGCTTTGAATGTCAGTTGTCTCATTTTACATTTTCCTCATGAGTGGCAGATAATAATATTCAGGGATGTAATATTCAGAGGCAGATAATATTAAGGCTCTTTTCGAATTGGCCATAATATATTAGCACCATCCATGCATGTGTGCACACGTTGTCTTGTTCCGTAGTTGTGGAGACATACACTTGTCTGTATGAGGTATGTGTGGGGACCGAAAACACTGTGGGGACAGCAGTTAGTCCCCATAACACGGTGTAGGCCTACCCATTTATACCTGTAAAAGTGTATAAATGTTAAAACAATCCAGGCACGCTGTCAAGTCTGCCAATTTGGAGCAGCTTCGGCGTCTGACAAAGGAGGAGTGGAAGGCGCTGACAATGAAAATGGTCGAGACGGCAGAAGCGAAACTGACATAATTTTCATGACACCAATGCGAAAACTGCTTCACATACACACGTGTGTAAAATGTATAGACCAATGCGGGCACGCTGTCAAGTCTATCTTGAAGGTCCCCTTCAATGGCGAAAAAAGTGTGCTAGCTTTTGTTCAGCGTTCACAATGGTTTCTCCATTCAAGGGGGCCTTGTGAATATGCATGTACAGTGATCACGTGCCCGGAATTATCTACACCCCAAATTTCAGGCAAAGATGTCAGAGTCCACACCCTGAATATTTAACTCCTT